TATTTCCCTGGATGAAAAAAGTCATCCAAGGGAAACATTTTGCCAATGTGGAAGAGTTGAAACAAAAAAAGGCAGAAGCACTAAAAGGCATCAAAATCGACAAGTTCAAAAACTGTTTTGAGCAGTGGAAAAAGTGTCTTGATAGGTGTAGTGCATCAAAAGGAGAATAATTTGAAGGCGACCAAAGTCTAAAGATGTAAGAATAAATATACAATTTTTTATCAATAAAACCAGGTTTGGGGGGATCTCGCTTGTATCCTTAGGATTGGTTCTTCTATCCTAAGAGTTCAAAAGAATATCTCAGCCTTTCTTCCATGCCTCAGCTCTTGTACTCCTCTTTCCTTCCTTACCTCAAGTTACTTGCCTTTCTCTTCCTGTGTATGCAGTAGGGATTCCCTCAAGTCCTTCCCTATTATTCTACTGCTTTAAGGTCCCAATGACCCTCATTTCATTGATGTAAGTCCTCAGAATCTCGCAGGAACAATTCATCATTTTTACACCCACATCCTTGTATTATTTGCCCAAAGCTGCTTCTATAATATTTAACATATATTGTAAAAATTTATTTTTTTTAATTCTTAGTTTGCTTTTAATATTTCCTAGTGCCTAGCACAGTGACTTGAACAAAATAGACGTATTCATCACATGAATTAAAGAAGGTTCGTGTACAACTGTTTGAAATTTCTAATTCCCACCTGACTATAGCCAATGGCTCTTATTACTGAGATAATTAACTGGAATGCAGTTGTGGCCAAGAAAGATTATTTTCATTGTGAATCTGGCTCAAAAAAATCAAATCTATAATTTTAAAATTTAAGACCATGATCCAAATAAGATAATTATCCATACATGAAATTGTTACAAAGAAATTGACCATCTTGAAACTAAAGGAAAATACATAAAACTGTATCATGGATGTCTGTGGTAGATAGAAATGTTATTCTGACAATTTTTAAAAAATAACTCTACAATCACATAAATATTCCTCTTCCAGAAGATGTTTATTAAATGTTAAATCATCAAGGATTTGACATTTTGAAACTTCATTTGATGCTCACCAAAAAGACATTAAACAAATAGTAACAAATTGAGTAACGATTTGAACTTCTGTAGATTTTTTAAAGAAAGTCTCTTTGATTACATAGGCCAGCCACCTCATAAAGATCTATCAAACTCCAAATTACTTTCCCCTAAAGATTGCTTCAATTTTTCAGCCTAGACTTTTACAAAGCCTGTGAATTGCGTGTCTTTTGTATTGTCTAAATGACTGATAATCAAAATTTCAATTTAATGGTAACAAGAGGGGCAGGGCATGGAGGCTCATGCCTGTAATCCCAGCATTTTGGGAGGCCAAGGTGGAAGGATTGCTTGAGCCCAGGGAGTTTAAAACCAGCCTGGGAAACATAGTAAGACCTCATCTCTACAAAATTAATAAATAAATAAGCTGGGCATGGTGACATGCACCTGCAGTCCCAACTATTCAGGAACTGAGGTGGTAGGATTATTTGAGCCCAGGAGGTTGAGGCTACAATGAGCTGTGATTGTGCCACTGCACTCCAACCTGAACAACAGGGTGTGACTCTGACTCAAAAAAAAAAAAAAGAGGGCAGAAGTAGGATTATTTATACAAATCAAAATCATGTTGAAAATCAACTTGTTGAAAATCGACTCCAACTCAAAAAAAAAAAAAGTATAGACAGAAACTTGAGAATTATGGTTCAGAGTCTCACTCTGTCACCCAGGCTGTAGTGTAGTGGCACACTCATGGCCATCCCAGTGTCAACTCGCTGGACTCCAGTGATCCTTCCACCTCAGCCTTCCAAGCAACTGGAACTACAGGCGTGCACTACCACACCTGGCTAATTTTTTGATTTATTGTAGAGTTGAGGTCTCACCAAATTGCCCGGGTTGGTCTCAAACCCACGGACTCAGGCAGTCCACTTGCCTCGGCCTCCCATAGTGTTGGAATTTCAGGCTGAACCACTGAGCCTGGCTACTGTCTATACTCTTAAACCTTCACTAGGGATCTGGAACCAAATCCTCACCTAGTTACTACACATCTCCACTCTAAATACCTCAAGTTCACCAAGCCTAAATGTTACTCCCTAAAACTAGCCTTCCTCCTCCACCAAATTTTTCTCTTTCTCGGAATCAATGTATTATTTTCTCAGTCACTGAGGCCACATATGGTGGCTTTTGACTATTGCTCCTCATTTTGCTTTTATTTTCTGCTGCATAGTCCTGTGAATTCACTCTTCAAAAGGTCTCACCTCTGTAATGAGTCTATATTGTTCTCATGCAGCCAGGCTCGTTTCCTTTGGGGAACTACTCCTCTCTGATTTGAGATGAGCTGTCAAGCACAAGATTTCACCCCATCCCCACTGAGAAACAAGCGTGTGATCTGGAACATGTCATTTCATGGTATCTCATTCCCCTGGCAAATGCCAGAGAAGAAGGTTATGGAGCAAGTAGGGCCAATCAGATTTCCTTTCTTAGATATTATAATACATTTTCTCTCTATAGGATTGCTAATCTAGAAATAAGTGAATTTGCAACTACCAGTAGGCATCCTCTCAGCTATATGCAGGTAGTCTATTTGGAGTAGAAAGAGAATGAGATCAAACCACAGCATCAATGCCAATATGGAAAGGTAGAGAGTATTTTATTTTAGTATCTAATGTTTTTTTATTTATTTTATATTTATCTTATTTTATTTTGACAGAGTCTTGCTTTGCCACCCAGGTTGAGTGCAGTGGTGGGATCACAACTCACTGTAGCCTCAAACTCCCGGGCTCAAACAATCCTAAGCAGCTGGTACTACAGGCAAGCATCACCACACTCAGCTAATTTATATTATTATTATTATTATTATTATTAGGAATAGGGTCTCACTATGTTGCCCAGGCTGAAGGCAGAGGGTTTTAACAACATTGTTTGTGTCCCTGGAGCCAGCCATGCTGGAAGTCTATCCCACCCCTGGATTTCCCAGTTAGATGAGTCAAATTTCAAAATCCTGACTCTACCACTTTCTACCTAGGTGAACTTGGACAAGCTTTTCTATGCCTCACTTAGCTCACCTATAAAATGAGAACTAATATTATTACCTACTTCACAGAGTTTTATGAGAGCTGGCATTGTAATTGCTCAATAAATGTTAGCAATAACTGTTAGGGCCCAGTGAATTCTGTTGTTTCATCTAGTTTTAACTGGGATCCTGTCACTTACAACAGAAAGCGTACAGATGATAAGGTTTCAAGTTCCTTAAAAATGTGCTGGGATCATATCCTTCCTCTGCCTTCCCATTGTCATCACCCCCATGAGATTCCCAAGCAATGTTTAGCTGGCTTTTCTGACTGCTTCGCTCTCCACAATCCACCCGAATTAACAGCGTTACAACAACCCGCACTAAACATCGCTTTCATCTTGGAATGCCCCTGCTCCAGTTTCTGTTCAGACTCCTCTTTCTGGCTTCCCAGGGTCCACCTTAACTGTCCAATCTGAATCACCACTCTCCCCAGCATTCTGGGCAGCCTGACATCTTACCTTTCACAAGATGGTGCCTTGAGATTCATGTCCCTTGGCTTTTCCTTCAGTCATTACATCCATCCCATCTTTTTCCCTTTAGATAATCAATTACAACTACTCCTCGATACAAATTCTGCCTCCTCTATGATACCGTCTCTAGCCACAGTGGCTTTCACTCATTTTCCCCTGCTTGATATGCTGAATCATTTTCAATTCTGTCCCTACAGGCTGCAACGTGCAATCCCAGACAATGCCATTGTTTCAGATGGGTCTAACGCAACTAGAAAGTGAAGTTTTTAGGTTACATTCTTTTGGGCCTATCCCCTAACTCAATGGTTAACACATAACATCAAAATAAACATGTTTATAGGGCCTGATCATAACACTCACATACCATAAGAAAGGGATTAGTAGTAGTGGCAAACTGCCGCGGGGGGGAGCAGTTTAGAAATTGAGGGAAACTGCCAGGGGAGGGCGGGGCACACCTCATCAACAAGGGTGCCTGCGTAATGAACATTTGTATACCTAAACCTGAATTGTTCCCCACATCTTTAAAATAAAAAAATAAAAATAAAAAATTTTTTGAGTCAGGGTCTTACTGTCACCCAGCTGGAGTGCAGTGGCACAAACACACCTCAACTTCAACACCCTGGACTCAGGAGAGCCTCCTGTCTTAGCCTCCCAAGTAGCTGGGACTACAGGCACACACCGCCACTCCCGGCTAAAAGTTTTTGATTTTTTTTTTTTTTTTGTAGAGACAAGAGCTCACTATGTTGTCCAGATTAGCATCGAACTCCTGGCCTCAAGCAATCCTCCTGCCTCTGTCTCCCAAAGTGCTGGGATTAATGCCAAAACTCAATTCTGAGACGCACATATAAGCGGGATACACAAAAAGACAGAATTATCTTTCGGAGGGCAGGCCCCTTGTAGCAAAGGCTTCCCCGCCTCCCCCACTGTCCCCCGCCCCACCCCAGGTAAGTGTTCTAGGAAGCTATCAGCATCAGTGTAAGGCTAGCGTTGTTATGAAAGGCTGCATTCAGCTTCAGTGAATTTTTCTGTGGCAAACAGGTGACTGGTTGTACTACAACGAATCTGCCCACACCTCACTGAATGTTCAGTAGTTTTTGACCAAAGACGGCATGACTCCCGTGCTCCACCCTCCCTATTCACCAGATCTCACCGAGCAACTTTATGTTTCCTCATGAAAAAAGTCCTCAAAGAGAAACATTTTGCCAGTGTGGAAAAGGTGAAACAAAAAAACCCAGCAGAATCACTAAAATGCATCAAAACTGATGAGTTCAAAAACTGTTTCGAGCAGTGGAAAAAGCATCTCAGTAGGTGTATTGCATCAAACGGAGAGTACCTTGAAGGTGACCGAAGTTTAAACAGTAAGAATACACAATTTTAAAAAATAAATAAATTCTGGATTTTTTGAGTCCCCCACTTGCCTAAATGACAAAATAAGGCAATAAGGCAATTTTAAGACAATTATATGTCTTTATTACACAAGCATAATATTTCTTATGGGAGTTGAGCTTCAGCTTGCTTCTTGTTTTCACAGAATGTCAAATATTTGTAGAAATTGTCTAAGAATGATTTATGAAACAAACACTCCCCTGCCCCCCCCACATACAAAAAGCCTTATTGCCTGCGTTTCACAACCTGAGAAAAACAATATCATTTGCTTATTTTACAGTGTGATACATGTTTTCTTTCAAGATATAAAAAGGACAGACTTCTAAAATATGAGTCTGCTTTTGTTTACAAAGTTCTATAAAAAATACATGACGTATGCCCAGATGTTTGATCTTTGACTTTATATTCCAGTTTACCAGAAACAAAAAAAATGGTAATACACAAAGATATGTGAACCACATTAATCTTGCAGCAATATAATGTCAACATCATCATGAACACCTTGCAAAAGGAGCTCTCCTGGGTACGTAACAATCTTCCTTCGCTTTGCAGCTTTGAGGGTTCCCACCAATGCTTCAAAGAGGTTGGCACATTTGTCATCTCGGAAGAGGACTCCAAATTTCACGCTTAACTTTCCATTGGCATCTAATTTGAGAATATACAATGTTAGCAAATGCAAAGTCTGTTTCTTGTCTTCATGTATGGCAGATTTACAAAATCTTAAACAAACATCTAACAATGGATAAACAAGATTACAGTTTAACACTTAACAGTCATAAATTCACTGTATCTTCTTCCTAGATCCAAAAAATGATAGAATAAATACAATGTATTCTATATCTCTTGGCCTTAGAATTATCTAGACAAAGACGGAAAGGTGGATGTGCTCAGGGATAATATTATAGATAAATTTCTCTCTATTTCTATTTTTTAACTGTTACATTAGCTGTCGAACCAATAAAGACAAGAAGTAAAAGAGAAAGCCTGGGTCAAGAGCAGTGTTTCTCGAAGTGAGTTCTCCACACACTCAGAATTCCCAGGTTTGAGAGTAGGGCCTCACAAGTGGATATTGCTCAGTCATTTATCAGGGTCACTGAATCTGGATTTTTAGTGGTAGGCCCAGAAATCTGTGTTTAACACAAGTCCTAAATACTTTTTCACACAGACATTGAAAATTAAGATAGACAAAAAGTGGATCTGCTGTTAAAAGTCAATAACCGGCACACTTGAAGCAAAGAGTGATATGGAGCCAGGAGTGGTGGCTGCTGGGCACGGTGGCTCAAGCCTGTAATTCCAGCACCTTGGGAGGCTGAGACAAGAGGATTGCCTGAGCTCAGAGTTCGAGACCAGCCTAGGCAACGTGGTGAAACTTCGTCTCTACAATAAATCAAAAAATAAGCCAGGCATGATAGCACGCATAGTTTCAGCTACTCTGGGCGACAGAGTGAGACTCCAACTCAAAAAAAAAAAAAAAAAAGATTGATATGAAACAACTCCCCAACTTTAGGGGATTCCTTTGGTCCTCTGGCTGAACCTGACCTCTCCCTACCCCACTGCTACAGGTTCTTCCCTCCCAGAACTACATCCACTGTCAAGAAGACAGCATGGCTTGGCTTGGTGGCTCGGTCTGTAATCCCAGCACTTTGGGAGGCAAGGCAGGTGGATTGCCTAAGCCTGCGGGTTCGAAACCAGCCCAGGCAACTTGGTGAGACCTCATATCTACAATAAATCAAAAGTTAGCGGGGCGTGGTAATGCACCCTGTAGTTCCAGCTACTTGGGAGGCTGAGGCGGAAGGATTGCCGCAGCCCAGCAGGTTAGTGCTGGGGTGGCTGTGAGTGTGCCACTGCACTCTAGCCTGGTAGATGGAGTGACTCCAACTCAAAAGAAAAGAAGAAGACAGCCATCTCAGTGAGGGAGGATCATTTCTTGACCAAGGGTCCTTGAGTTTCCACACTCACCAGCTAGAACTTCCCACCTGACGCTCAGCAAACTCCTACTGCAAGCGCAGCACTGCGTTAGGTACTGCAGGCTGGTATGAGGAAGCACAGAATCACTTTCAAAGAAATGACTCCAATGCCCGTGAGCAAATAAGAAATATACACTTCGCAAGTAAAGCAACAGTTCAAAGTAGGACGTGAATGGATGTCAAATGAGTAATAGAGACAATATAACTTACAGTTTGGGGAGGGCAAGTTGTCTTTGGGCTAGATGAGTAAGACTTCATGGAGAAAGTGGTACCTATTCTGGACTTTAAAGGGAATGATAACATGGAGCTTTTTAGAATGTGAGCCCCTTGTTTTTTTTGTTGTTGTTTGTTTGGTTTTTTTTTTAGTCACAGCCTCGACCTGCTGGGTCCAGGCAATCCTTTCGCCTCAGCCTTTCAAATAGCTGCAACTATAGGCGTATGTCACCACGCCCGGCTAATTTTTTGATTTATTGTAGATACAAACTCTCACCAAGTTGCTCTGGCTGGTCTTGAACCCCTGGACTCAGGCAATCCTCTTGCCTCGGTCTCCCAAAGTGCTGGGATCACAGGTTTGAGCTGCCATGCCCGGCACATGGAGCTTTTTAGAAACCTGACAGTCCTTAGGTGAAATCTCCACCTACTAGTTGTTTGCCCTTGAGCAACTTGTTAAAGCTCCTTATGCCTTGAATCCTTCCTCTGTATAATAGGAATCTGAACACCTTCCTCACTGTGCTGCTGGGGGACACAGTTCTAAACACTCAGCACAGTGCACGGCACACACTGGACACTGTTACGAGTGACACCAACAGGGAGAGTATGCCCGGCCAGAGGCAAGGACAAAAACAAGCAAGGTGGTTGGAGTGACAGTGACAAGCATGAGCAATATACTCATTTGAAGTTAATTTTGTTTTGTTACTTTTATCTTTTAATATTTTTTCTTTTTTTATTATAAAGATGTGGGGTACAATTCAGGGTTAGGTATACAAACATTGATTATGTAGGTACCCTTGTTGATGAGGTATGCCCCTCCCTCCCCTAGCAGTTTCCCTCAACTGCCAATCCCACCCTCCCTCCCCTGACAGTTTTCCACTATATCTAAGATGAGAAAAGACGTTGCAAAGGGAAAAACAGAGACTCTGATCATGCCTGGCCTGAAAAGCTAAGATGTCGCTCTTTGATTTGTAAATGTCTAGCAGCACGTCCCTCAGCATGAAATTGGCATGTGTCACTGATTACAGATATAGGTCAATCTGGTCACCTCAGGCAATTCCCCCAAGCCCTCAGGGTTTCAGTTACGTCAAGCATCATATGAGGGTAAAATACCCCTCACAGGGCTATTGCAGTTATTAACAGATGTAACGTAGGTAAAGCCTTGTATAGAGTGCCCAGCATACATTAAATTCCCAATTTTGGTTAAATTTTTTTAAAGGCACCAAACGCAGAAACCTGGGTATAATCTCGGGGTTCTCCTGCCCCCCTCATCCCTCAATCTGACCAATATCCAGGTGTTCCCACCTTCTTTGTGTCTTCTGTAGCTCTAGTCTCTCCTCTCCAGTGACAATTCATTCCTTGGCTCAGGCCCTAATTGTTTCTAAAATGGATGATGGCAAATAGATAACTGGTAACCCCTTACCAGCCTTCTTTTCTCCATAGTACAATCTTCACATTGATGTGGAATAAAAACTGTGGAAGAAACTATATGAGATATTACTCTCACTGGCAATCTTCTACTTCAATCTTTCAGTGGCTCCCTATCACCTTCAAAATAAAGTGGAGTCCATAAAGTTCTTCATCCTTTGGCCTTGCATCTGCTGTTGGCCTGGCCTTTTGCCGTATCACTCCATGTACCTTTTGATCCAGTCACAATGAACTGCCTGCTGTGCCCAAGGTGACGTGAGAGATCCTGCCTTCGTAATTCTGTCCATGTTGAACCATCAGTTTAGCATTCCAGAACTGCTTCCCTAGCTAAATTCTTTTTCTTCAAGAATGGACTCAAATGCCACATTTACTGGGAAGTTTTTCATGACTCCCTCAGTTGACTTAACAGCTCTTCTTATAAAACTGAGTACATATCTATCAAAGCACTCACCATCAATTATAGGAATAATGGCGAACATTTATTGAGTGCTTGCTATGTTCCTAGAATAGTTCAATGCATTTTACAGTCATTAAAATGTACTTAATTCTTATTTCATGGAAGATAAGACACAATTGATTGCAAAAAACGCCATTATTTTACCCTACAATTAAACTGCCAATTTAACTATAGCATACCATGTACTATAAGATGAATTTTTATTTGAGATTTTAAAATGTGAAAAAGTGTCCTTGAAATATAGTATTATTATTATACAAATGAGGAACTAAGGCACAGAAAAGTTTAGTAATGTGCCCAATGTCACACAGCAAAGATGTAGAGGAGCTGGGATTCACCCGAGAGTCTGACTCCAGAGTCCATGCTCTCAGTCACTTCCCAATACATGCTTCCAGTTGGTCTGTCTTTTTCTTTGAGCTACCTCAAGAGGACTTCAAGGACTAAGATGGAATTTGGTTTATTTCTGCATCTCCAGCACTTGAGCACAAAGAGGACACTCAAGAAATACTTGTTAAATAAAAAAATGTAAACCTTCAAATAATCTTTCTCCACTTAATATTTTTTCACAAGATGAAAAGTGAGACCTTAAAGAATTTGACTTTAAATGAAACAGACAAAACTAAATTAATCAATTTCCATCTTGAGCTCATAGATCACATGTACTTTGGTACAAAATTGTTCCAAACACAACTTAAATAATTAACCATAACATGTCCGAAGATAACATATCTCCATTTACGCTTTCCAACTCATTAAGTCATCTCTTACCAGAAACAAGAAAGTCAAGGTATCCTGATAAAGCTGCAAAATTAAAAGTATTTTCATGCTTATAGAGGTTATGATAATTATCTTAAGTCTTCTAATGTGTAAAGCTGCTAATTTTAAATTGGAATTTCAGTTTGCCCTAGTAGATTAAGACACTCTTCTAGTGGTGAAAAGGTTAGAATCTTAAAACCAATTGAATGTGACCAATAAACACCAGTCTGACATAGATAAAGGAAATTCTACAAATCTTTGGAAATGTAATTTTAACACCTGTAACAATCTAAATAAGAGTTCTACTGTCAAGAGTAAAATAGTCTGGCCGAGTTCAGGAGAAATTGGGAATGTGGAAAGAGGAACACAAGTAAGGACATCACTATTGAAAATAAGACTCCCAAAACTTCCACCAGTGGGTGGAGGAAAATGGGGTTAGGAAAGATTGTTCATTTGTTTGATTAGGAAATTAAATAAATTACATTTCCCAATGTTTTCTCTGCAAACATCACATTCATTCCCATTCCAGATTCAGCTCATATATTTCCTCCTAAACTGGCCTGCCCTACACTACAAAGTTCTACTTGAGACTCAAGACTTAGTTAAGTAGCCCCAAGTACTACATCTTTCAAGGATCTATTTCCATGGGAACATATTGAATGTAAGCATGTCACAATTTGGTGTACCGCTTTTTCTGATAATTGCCTCATGCATTTTTATGTATTTTCATCAACTAAGTAGTAAGATCCCTGAGGAAAGAAGCATACCTTATACCACCTGTACTTACACAATGATTGGCATAGATGGATGCTCAAAAAATATTAACTCACCATATTGTAAGGTAAATGAAACCAGACCAGGCGAAACGGCAACAAAGGAGCCAAGAAAAATTTATGAGCGCAATCCCGGGAGAAGTTCACCGGTCCATGTAGCTGTGGGCCGGAGAAGTCGCGCCCAGCAAGAGGGGCCATGGGTTTATAAAGGGCACACTGAGAAAGCTGTGAGGGGGTTGGGGAGAGCAATCACTGGTTGGGACAGCTGTCACGTCTGCTGGCGATTGGCTGAACGGGGTTGCTAGAGTCGCTGTAACAGGTACTGGCTGGCTTTGCAGCTGGAGTCTTAGTTCCGGTCACTCATTTTTGCTGGCTCTCTTTCGCCCATTGTTCTCCTGGTCTGGGTTGGAGCCATCTTGTTGAGGCCCACCCCGCCCTCTGGTGCCTCCGGCCTTACACATATGATTAAATTCACTTGGTTGTCAAGTTCACATGAACTTTTATACACCTTGTTTACCTTTTCTTGGTACATTTCAGTAATGATGACTCAGGCTTGATGTAGAAATAGAGTGACTAGAGAAGACCAAAAAGAGGAGGTGGTGGGAAGACTAACAGCCCCCAAAGATATCCACATCCTAATTCCCAGAACCTATGAATATGTTGCCTTACATGGCAAGAGGGACTTTTTAGATGTGATTCAATTAAGGACCCTAAAATGGGGCAATTCTCCTGGATTATCTGGGTGAGCCCAATTCAATCACAAGAGTCCTTAAAAATGGAAGATGGAGGTAAAAGGGGGTTGTGTCGGAGGCTTTGAAGGTGGAGAAAGGGGGCCCTGAGACAAGGAATACAGGCAGCCTCTAGAAGCCGGAAGTGGCAAGGAAACTGAGTCTCCCCTAGAAACTCCTGAAGGGAACATACCCTGCCAACACCTGAATCTAAGCTCAGTGAGACCCTGACCTACAGAACCGTTATTAAATATATTGCTTTACATTACTAAGTTTGTGACAATCTGTTACAGCAGGAACAGAAAATTAATGCAGGATACATCTGATATTAATGGTTTGATGGAATTTTCAAAGTATGTTCTGTTATTTCAACGGATTTGTGATTCATAGCATTGCTTTAAGTAAGAAAAATCAAGCTAGAATGACAAAAAACAAAACTTCACCTATTGAGGTACTTTCTAGAGCTATTTTTCACATACATGATATAATTTTAAAACTTTGAGTTTAATTTATCTTAGTTGTTGCTGAATGTTTATTGTTCTTATTACAAAAATTCTTCACAAATTCTTGCATATCTTGTCTGGGATGTACCAAATACCTAAAGCTACAAGTATAATTGTAACTTTCCTACAACTTAGAAAAGAGATACTAATACTCCCAATTTTACATGTCACTATCTTCACATAAGTTGCCTAGCTGTTACTGAAGAAAAAGATGACAGAAAAAAAAAAGATTACATAAAGGGTGGTTTACTTTAGCGATATGTACCTAAACACCAGATTATATAAAACTCAAGAATTTGGAGAAAATAAAAAGACAATTTAGTATAATTTTGATCTAAGATGTATAATGGTGGCAGGTTAAAGCAGAAAACATGAATTCTAACAGTTTGACAAATATTCGAACATGATTCAATTATCAGATTGAAATGCAACCAGATGAAAGAAGTCTGGTAATTTTCTTTTCATTAAAAGGATAATAAAGTATCTCAACCATGCTCTGCATCAGACTCACAGTATACCAAAAGCTACATGTGTCTCCAGATATCACTTCAGGGGTAAGGGCAGTTACCTCTGAGGCTATGGGCAGAGCTGCTATAACTGCATCCTGAAGCCCTGGGTGAGCCCTTCATAAAGGCTTCTTCAGAACGTCAGTCCTGCCTCCTCTGAGAGAAACTTGGAAGAAATACTATACCTGTGTTAGAATACTTACTTTTTGAACCCAAACGATGGATTTCCTCCACTAAGAGGTTTACCTCATGATCCACATTCATTGCTGCCTGAGAGAGAAAAAGAGTTACGTCTAAATTATTACCGTTTGTACATCCAAATCTGAGAGCCCTTTCTTTTTTTCATGTAGCGTTTGTCACAATTAATTTTCCATGTCTCCCTTCCTAAAAATACTTGTGTGCCATATATAGCACTGAAGTATCTCCATTTTCCCTCTGTCTTTAAAACTGCCCTCTCAGCTGCCCCAACTCCTGCTCTCCACACTCTATGGGGGAGAGGCAGCCATTCTTCTCACCCACTGTTCACTCTAAGCAGGTCTTCTTCGTGGTGCTCTGTGAGGCACCAGAAATACAAGAGGTGAGTAGCACAGGTTCTGCCCTCAGGGAGCTCAACTTCCACAGGCAGAGAAAGGCCTGCAATGAACAGCAAAGAGACAGACACTCTTTGAGTGGTAGGCCTAAGGCATTATGGGAGCACAAAGGAGGAAGCCACAGCAGGCTTGGTGGAGGCACTGGGGAGCAGTGGACTAGGTAAGGTAAGTGGGAAAGGATCTTCCACGCAGGGGGAAGAACATATGCAAAAGCAGGGACGCAAAGGAGAAAAAGCATAGAACACATGATGCAGGCCCTGAGTCAGACATTGGAGACACCAAGATGAACTGGCACGTCCCCGCCCTTCAGGAGCCTGTGCCTAGTGGAGGAGGCAGAGCGATACAAAGGCAACTTTAATATCATCACATCAATGCAGTGATAACTTCTGGGTCACATGCAGGGGTGTTGTATCCTTCTCTGGGCAGTCCCCACTAAATCCGACTTCAATTAAACAGCTTGTGGTGAAACCACATCTTGGAATAAGGAGGAGTCCAGAATGTAGCAGGTATAAAAGTTATCACTGTGTTGACAGGATGATATTAAAGTTGGCTTTGTATTGGTCTGCCCCGCCCCCATCACTAGGCTTCAGGCTCCTGAAGGGCAGGGAATGTGTCAGTTCATCTGTGTCCCCAGCAACTAGCTTGGTGCCTTACCTTGGCCTGTAAGTTCTCCACAGGCTGGATTCTGCCTACCCTTCCAGCCTTCTCCACCCTGCTCCCTTGGCTCTAGGCTGAAGCGCAATGGGCTTCTTTGGATGTCCAAATGCCCCTCGCTCTCTCACCTCTAGCCTTCACACAATCCGTTGCTTCAACACAGACTATTTCATTCCTCTTTGCTGGGGCTAACTCCCACATATCCAGTCCCAGCTTAGAACATCCTCCAAAAAGCCTTCCCCGAAACCCCAGAGTAGGCGAGCTCTCCCACTGTGTGTCCTCATAGCACTGTGTGTCCCTCTTCATTACATTCAGCTGGAATTATCGGTTTCTGGGCTTCCACCCTAGAGAGTAAATCTCTCTCTGCCGGTATCTGACTCTAATGCTCACTGCTGTGTCACGTCTGGTGCTGAGAGGAGAAGGTAAAGAAATTTTGGTTTCTTGAACTGAAAAGAACAAGCAAAGGCATGAGAGGGGTGGGATTACACCTGCAGGAGGTCACAGAGTAGGCACAATGGGGCAGAATAGGCATCAATTCAGTCTGTTTTCAAATCATTCATTTTCCAAATCAAATAGAGACCAAATAAGTAGAGTTGTATGCATGGTTTTTAGGTGACAATTTGGAAGAAACAACTTTATCCAGATGGATGGTAACTAATTCGTGGTAGCTTTTTAAAACAAGAGTGACATCTATGACTGTGTACCACCTGCTTCAACGATATTGATTGAGACACTAGATTTTCTATCAGCTAATTATTAAAAGTGCCACTACCATCTGCTACATTGCTGGTGAGAATATTGTAATTTAAGGCTCTTGGATCGCAATAAAATGTGAAATCTTCAATTAAATGTGTCTTTATAAAAGCTTAATATCGAAAATTATAGTGTCCAAATATTGGAGACTTTGTGTTGGTGAAGTCATATCTATAACATCATATGCAATTCAAGACATAGTTTAAGAGATACTAAAAAGCTAAAATATACTCAGACTACACGGTCACTATGCTGAAGGCCTGAACGCCTTGCTATGAGAATGATGGTGGAAAAAACATGTTAATGTCAGTGTGATGGCCAGCTGCTGTTCTGCCTCCCCAGCACCCTTCCCCATCCTGGCACCAGCTGTCTAGTTTTTGTTTGGATAGAGCTTTCCCTCCTTATTCTAACCCATATATCTTGGGCAGAGTCTCACCCTGGGTTCCAGAAGTAGTTCAGGGCCAGAATGATTGGTCTGAGGCATAAGGTCAGTGATCCCAACCAGAACACAGAGGTTCAGTCTCTAGATTTTGTTAGAACTATTAGTAAATGACAGTCTCCTTCCATTGGTATCTAAGATGTAAATGTATAGTCCCTGATGTCAATGGCCACCAAGTGGAAGGAGCCTCCCAGGACTAAAGCTAACACAAAGAAAAGTCCAGCCATATAACAATGATTGAGCCTGTATGTGACCCTGAATATTTCAACTATGTGAACCAGTATCTTTCCTGTTTTCGCTTGTGCTGGTTTGGTTGAGTTTCTATCGCTTGCCCTCTAAAGTATCCTTATCCATTAAGTTCACTTAGAGAGATCTAATGCTATTTTTTTTTTTTAGAGATGGGGGTCTCGCTATGTTGCCCAGGCTGGTCTCAAACGCCTAGCTTCAAATGATACACCCACCTTAGCCTCCCAAAGCATCTGTGAAAGTTTTTTTATGTCCTTTGTGTTGCTCTATTGGGTAGGATGGATTGATGTAATAGAAAGTTAGTTTTGGAAGCCATGTACTTTTAAAAAAATCTCTAATAATCAAAACTGCCTAATAATGAATAAAGTTTGCACCTGGTTCTTGGAAGCATTAATGCAGAAATGGTAAAGATCTGTGAGGGATTATGAGGAAGTTAACCTGCACTGGACAAAAGGGAAAACAGAATGGCCAAGGAGATGAAGAACTGCTCCAATTCTCAGATTCTCTCATTCCCTCCTCCCTGAAAATGGGTCTCTTTAACACCCTTCTCCACGCCTTCCACCCACCAGCAACACACTTCAGACTTAGCTCGAACAATGAGAATCAAAGAGGAAATCCCTCTGTTATATATAGCATGGATGTCTGCGTTATATTAGCAGATGTATATTCATCCAATTTTAAGAAGGGAAGGCAACTGATCTTTCTTTTAATTAATCCCGCAGCAGATTCCTTATCTATGCTACTCAGGTAATTCTAAGAATTTTGCAAAGTATTTATTATTTCCCCCCATTTTATGGATAATGACACAAGCGCAGAGGGGTTAACTTCCCATAATCGAATGAGGTTTCTACCACATTATGCCAGCTCTTCTTCCCCTTCTTCTTCTTTTGCTGTTATGCAAATACACCAAACATAACAGTGAGCAGCGTTTGCATGAAATATTACATGCTGAGTACTTACTAAGGCAGAACACTTACAAAGCAAGAAAGGCTCCCTGCCCAGATCGCTATAAATAGGAATATAACAGGTTTAGAAACAACTGCTAACATCTATTATCTGGCATGTTCTATTTATTTTACTATTTAGGGGAGAGAGGGTCAAAGGGACAAAAACACCTATTGTGACACAATCCTTTAAAGGCCCATAACACTTTATAAGAAGTCCGGATGTCCGAGACTGCAGTGAGCAAAACGAGGAACAATGCAGAAGGTGTGTGGCCGCGAAGAGAGGTTGACTGATGGGTACAAATATACAATTGGACAGAAGAAATAAGACCTGGTGTTGGATAAATCAGTAGGGTGACCGTGACTAGAGTTCTTGTTAATCGACTGTACATTTCCAAATAGCCAGAAGAGGATAATTTGAACGTTCCTAGTGTAAAGAAACGATAAATATTTAAGGTGTTGGCTATCCCCATTGCCCTGATTTGATTATATGAATGTATCAAATTATCACGTGTGCGCCGAAACCATGTCTAAGGAAAAAAAATAAAAAAGAACAATGAGGCGAGGTCATAAGCAGAACAAGCCTAAGAGGAAGGAGCTTGTCATTGAGCGGCTCGACCAGAAGAAAGAGAGGGAGAGGCTCCAGGGAAGGCGACGGCAGATGCCAGCCTGACACTTTCATTGTCGCAGCATCGAATCAGGCTTTGTGCGTGGGAACCACAAAGAAGGCGGGACGTCGGAGGCCCGGGCATATGCTGAAATTTTCCACCATCAATACACACTTGAGAATATATTTCAGGGCCCTCTAAGCGCGATCTTAATTTTATTTTCATTTTTTATTTTAATGATGTGGGGTACAATTCAGGGATAGAGATACAAATGCTCATTATGCAGGTACCCTGATATCATTTTTTAAAAGTTTGGAGGCAATACATGGAGACGTTTCTAATGCCTGAGATAAAGCCCACTAGCGTGAGGACCTCTGGAATCAGAAGTCAAATGTACCCTAGGGCCGGGCACTTTTTTCCAGCCCTCCTTCCCAATCACTGACTAGCAGCAGTTGGAACTGGTCAGTAGATGAGTTCCTTTCTCCCTCCTTGCGCGCACTCTCCATATTTGGCCATCCCTGCTCCAAGTTTGGGGATCTGCCAGGGAGAGGCTCCCCAACCTCCCGCCCTGCAGTCCACCACACGGTCACCGCCGGCACCGGTGCAGAGTTGCGGGAGCGCGGGCTCAGTCCCCGGTTCGGGTCGGCACAGCTGGCTCCCGGGAAGGGCCGCGTCCCGGAAGCCTTTGTCTCCGCAACTCCCCGTGGCCCGGGCACCCTGGCGCTCCTGGAGAGCAAGCGCCCAAACCGCGCGAAGAAACGGACCCAGCCTGGGGCTTCATGAGCCCCTGGGGGGCCCCTCGCCACCCTCTACCGCGCCAGACCTGGAGCGCACAGAGCCGCACCCACCTCTGGCGCTGCAGAGGCGGTTGCCCTGAAGCCACCAGATTCCTCTGGGCCGCCTCTCCCCCTCGCCCCCAGCCCTTCCCCACCAGCTCGGCAGAAGCGGCTCCTGAACCAGCGCCAACTGCAAAACCGACACGTCGCACCGCGGTAAAAAACCGATCCATTTCTGCTCGCTTCCCGGTACGCCCCCGGCCGGCAAAACGTCACGTGGGCCGAGTGCGGAAGTCCGCCGGGAGGTGGGGGCGTGGGAGGCGCGCGCCCACCCGGGCCCCTCCTGCACGACCTCTGCCCTTGTGGGTTACAAGCTCCATCCGCCCTGGCCCCCTGGCGGCTTTGGCTCTCCACCGTGGCCCCCGATCCCCGGCTGCTGGGCCCCCCCCGCCACACACCCCCCCCCAGTCCATCCTGTATCCCCAGCCACGTCTGCCCCGGGCACTCACGCACCTCTCGGCTCGCGCTCTTTTCCGATGAGGAACCGCTACCGCGTGGGTCCCGACCCGCTAATCTTTCTCAATGCACTGGCGAGGAAGAGGCTGAGGAAGGAAGTGGCCGAGGCAAAGAGAAAAACGTCTGGGAGGAGGAGGAGCGGGGGCTGGGGTGGGGGGGAAGAGTTTCTGCGCTCAGGAAAGGGGCCGCCCACACTCCCAGGGACAAGCCTATGGGGAGGAAACTTGGGGGAGGAGACGTCCCAGAAGAGGGCAGAGTCCGGACAGGTGGCGGGGCGCTCGGGGCTTCTAGGAAAGCGGACCCAGAGCTTCGATTACCGCCGCCTTTCCATTGTGCCACTCAGAGCCAGATCCCCGGCCCCTGCCTCGGATCCCAGACGTGGATTTCCAGCCAGGATTTCCCTCCCCACATGGGGAACAGAGCGCCCCCAACGTGCCCAATGTTGAGGTCTCCCGGGAAGAACGTGACTTTCATTGGTTCTGTGTGCCGGGAGCAGGAGCTTCTAGAAAACTACCATCAGTGACTTGAGAAGAAGGGTCTGATTCGCAAACAAAATGCAGTCTTAAAAATCGATTTGTTCTACCGTAAAGAAATTTTCCTTGTAAGCTAGTTCTTGATCCTGAGTTAATATAGGCTTTTCTCTTCACTCACTGTTTCCTACGTTGAACTTCATCATTCAATCCATTGATTCACGCTATTTTCGTCACTGCTATTTTAAGGTGCGCATGCATGAGGGAGAGCTAGGCTTGCCGTATCCAGAGTTACCTTGGAACGGAAACGAGAGGCTTAGCTGAGAGAAGTTACCCAGATTGTTCCTAGGATAGGGGTTGCACAAATGCCCACAGACTGCATCGCCTACCCCCTCAACCCTCAGCAAACGGAATTAAGAGCGATCACGTGACCTACGCACACAATCCATGAATTGGTCATCATCCTGTGAGGTGACCTGGAACAAATAGTTCTCACCAAACGGGGACTCTGATCATTCGTAAGCCAGTCAGACTCTCCCTTGAAAATGGAAAGTGGAGACTACAGGGAATGAGCCGTCTGACAGAGAGGTTGAAACTGACAGAGGGCGAGGCAGAAGGAGCCCAGGGAGGCTTCCCGTGTGCAAATCATTTGGGTAACCAGAGATCGCGAGGAGGCAGCCGCAGGTTGGTTTCATTTAACCAAGTGCATCCAAAATACTATCATTTAAATCTGTAATGGATACATAAAAATTAATAAGATGTTATACATTCTCTGTTTTGTCCGAAGTCTTCTAAGTCTATTGTGTATTTCACAAACAGTTAAAAAGTATTTATAGGCTGGGTGTGCAGGGGCCATGCCTCCTCGGTGGTTAGAAACTGAGTGGAAGACAAGCTGAGACCCAGTGACAGAAGGAGGACAACAAAAACTGCTTCCCAGGGGGACATGAATATCCAGGTCCCTGGGGCCACTCTGGATCTATCCACTTCCTGAACTGCGTTTTAGTTACCCTTTGATAGTCAACGTCTATGACTTGGGTGTGTCTCAATGAGCCTCTGTTCTGTAATCTTCAACAAAGGTCTGATTCTTCTAAGTGTCTCATGGCAGATGGAGTTTAAGGTGACTCAGAAATCCTTTGAGGCCTATTTTTTTTTTCTCACCAAAGGAAAGTTGGGAAGTTATACTTTATATTTTTCAAGTCTACATAGTGCAAAAATTATAATTCAAGAAAAATATCATATTTAACAATTCTCCAAGAAGGACCTAGCTATTTTGGCCTGTGACAGTGATCTCAATTCCCCACTCAGATAATATCTGATAATAGGAGTAATGACTCTGTAATGTGTCACTTCTGTCATGATTAAGCAACTAGTGTTTCCCACTACTCTGCCAACCAGAAAAAAAAAGATTACCTAAAGAAGTAAATGTCCTGAAAATGAATTCACTCTTTAAAAAATACTTTGTTTAATACATATACTTCACTGAACATAGCATCAACTTTATGTTAATCTATAAATTTAGAGTATAGATTAACATGGAATCTAAATGTGGAAGTTTAATCTAAAAAAGCAATAATAAAATCTTCTCAACAGTTAAAAAGTATTTGTTGGCTGGATATGGTGGGTCATGCCTGTAATTACAGCATTTTGGGAGGCTAAGGAGAGAGGATCACTTGAGGTCAGGAGTTTGAAGCTGCAGTGAGCTACGGTCATACCACTGTACTCCAGTATGGGTAAGAGAGCCAGACCCTATCTCAAAAAAAAAAAAAAGGTATTTAGTAAATATCAAGGATGTGCCAGCCACGATGTGTTGATACTGGAGGTACAAAGTAGCCTAAGTTATGATCTTTGTCAAACAGAACTTATAGTAATGTACATATGAAATATTAAGATAAGCCGGGCTCAGTGGCTCAGCCTGTAATCCCGTGCCTTTGGAAGGCTGAGGTGAGTGGATTGCCTGAACCTGTGGGTTCGAGACCCGCCTGGGTAGGCGAGACCTCATCTCTACAATAAATAAAAAAAAAAATTAGCCGGGCGTGGTAGTGCACGCCTGTAATTCCAGCTACGTGGACGACTGAGGCAGAAGGATCACCGGAGTCCAGCAGGTCGAGGCTGCGGTGATCGGGAGTGGCCACTGCACTCCAATCTGGGTGACAGAGTGAGACTCCAACTCAAAAAAAAGAAAGATTAAGATAGTCTTTATTCATTTAATTGCACAGTATATACATCAGCACTGTCCAACAGAAATATAATTGTGAACCACACATTTTATTTTATTTTACATTTTTTTGAGTTGGAGTCTCACTCTGTCGTCCAGGTTGAAGTGCAGTGGCACGCTCATGGCCACCCCAGCATTGACCTGCTGGGCTCCAGCGATCCTGCCATCTCAGCCTTCCAAGTAGCCAGAACTACAGCTGTGTACTACCACGCCTGGCTGATTTTTGATTTATTGTAGAGACAAGAGTTCACCAAGTTGCCCAGGCCGGTCACGAACCCACGGGCTCAGGCAATCCACTCGCCCCGGTCTCCCAAAGTGCTGGAATTACAGGCTGAGTCACCAAGCCTGACTTCACACATATAATTTTAAATGTTCTAATAGCCACATTAAGAAGCAGGTGAAATTAATTTTACTAATATGTTTTATTTAACCGAGTATATCCAAAATACTATCATTTAAACCTGTAATGGATATTTAAAAATTAATAAGATATTATACATTCTGTTTTGTACTAAGTCTTCTTATAAGTCTATTGTGTATTTTATATTTACCACATATTTCAAGTGCTCTATATAGCCTTCTATGGCTAGTATCTACTATGTTGGACAGTGTAGCTGTAGACAATTCCAGAATAAAGCATGATATTATATGCTAATAATTTTACTTAAGAAATTACATGTCATCAAGAGAGCCGGGAGACAGCCCACAGAATGGGAAAAAAATATTTGCCAACTGTACATCTGACAAAGGGCTAATATCCAGGATTTACAAGGAACTCAAACATGCCACCAACAGACACATGAAAAAATGCTCAGCCTCACTAATCATCAGAGAAACGCAAATCAAAACCACACTGAGAGACCACCTAACCTTTGTACTAAGTCTTCTTATAAGTCTATTGTGTATTTTATATTTACCACATATTTCAAGTGCTCTATATAGCCTTCTATGGCTAGTATCTACTATGTTGGACAGTGTAGCTGTAGACAATTCCAGAATAAAGCATGATATTATATGCTAATAATTTTACTTAAGAAATTACATGTCATCAAGAGAGCCGGGAGACAGCCCACAGAATGGGAAAAAAATATTGCCAACTGTACATCTGACAAAGGGCTAATATCCAGGATTTACAAGGAACTCAAACATGCCACCAACAGACACATGAAAAAGTGCTCAGCCTCACTAATCATCAGAGAAACGCAAATCAAAACCACACTGAGAGACCACCTAACCCCAGTAAGAACAGCTATCATTAATAAAACAACAACAGATGCTGACAAGGATGCAAAGAACACGGAATGCTTCTACACTGCTGGTGGGAATGCAAACTAGTGCAACCTCTTTGAAAAACAGTGTGGCGATTTCTAAAAGAACTAGACATTGACCTTCCATATGACCCAGCAATCCCCCTGCTGGGAATATACCCAGAGGAACTCAAATCACTCTACAAAAAAGATACCTGCACACACAAGTTTACTGCAGCACTATTCACAATAGCAAAAACATGGAACCAGCATAGAAACTGAAATGTATAAAAAAGAAATGTGGTGCATATACATGAATATTATGCAACCATAAAGGACAAAATTATGATTTTCACAGCAACTTGGATGGATTTAGAGTCTATCGTACTCAGTGATCTATCACAGAAACAAAGAACAGAATACCACAGGTTCTCACTTATAAGCGGACCCTGAACATTTACCATAATACCTTAAGAAAGGGATTGGCAGTAGTGGGATACTGTCGGGGTGGGTGGGGGTGAGGGGTACACAACATCAATAAGGGTACCTCATCTCAAACCAGGCGAAGTGGAACCGAAGGGAGGTCCAAACTTTATCTATACAATGGCCACTTTTATACCTAATCCCGAATTGTGCCCCACATCTTTAAAATAAAAATAAAAAAGAAATGACATGTTCCTGGAATGAAAAAGATAATAATATGATAATTAAAGGCTCATTGGCCAGGTACAGTGGCTCATGCCTGTAATCCCAGCCACTCAAGAAGCTGAAGTGTCAGGGTCGCTTGAGCCCAGGAGTTTGAGGTTACAGTGAGCTGTGATCACACCACTGTACTCCAGCCTAGGCAGTGGCACACTAAGGCCACCCCAGCGCTGAACTACTGGGCTCTGGCGATCCTTCCGCCTCAGCCTTCCAAGTAGCCGGAACTATAGGCGCTCGCTACCACACCCGGCTAATTTTTTGATTTATTGTCAAGATGAGGTCTTACCAAGTTGCCCAGGCTGTTCTCAAACCCGTGGGCTCAGGCAATCCCCTCACCTTGGCCACCCAAAGTGCTGGGATTATAGGCTCAGAAATAGACATTTAAAAAATGTAATTGTCTCCATTGAAATGAATAGTCAAAAATCTTGTAAATGATCTCTAGGATGGCAGTTCCATCCTGGGTACATACCCAAAAGAAAAGGAACATATATTCACCAGGAG